TGTGCCAAAACTCATATCAAACTCTTAAATACACCTTACCATGCGGCAGCGAGAAGGAGTATTCGTGCCTTCCCAACATCACCAATCAAAGCTATTTTAAAAGAATCCGGGTTACCAGGTATTCAGCAAAGGACCACACATAACACACTGCTACTCATTCCAAAGTTGCTTCTATGCAGAAATGAGTTAACACTTATGAATACAACTATAATTCGTTGTCTAACCATTTCCAAGCAACTCGGAATAATTACGAACCCTACAGTGATSGAACCTTGAATAATTCCGCCTTCCATGACATTATCTTCAAGTTGTATCAGCGTTACACAACAATATCCAACCAGCAACACGGAATATGTTCAGCTATATAAAGAAACTATTCAACCTTATAGAGATGATTGAGAGTTTATATTTACAGAYGGATCTAAAAGTGATACCTCCATCTCATTTGTTTCGACAAACAAGAACGGTGGCACCATAGCTGCTTTTGTTTTGCYTTCGTACTGCTCGGTATTTACAGCTGAAACAGCTGCAATATTGGAACCGGTTCGTTTTGCCACTAGGAATGGAAGGAAAACTATTATTTGCAGCGACAGTAAATCCGCCATAGGTGGCATTTTTAACMAATCAAACGATTCCTACCTGATTACAAAAATAAAAAACCTTATTTTTCAACAAAATAACATAATCAAAATTATGTGGATACCTGGACACACAGATATTCAAGGAAACAAAATGGCTGACAAACGAGCGAAAGAAGCAAACAAAGAACCYTTGTATACGCCAGCATACTTCATCACAAAGGATATTAAGAAATACGTTAAACTATTTATATTTATTTCTCTTCTAAATAAATAAAATAAAATATTAATAAAACTGAAGGTTGGCGGTAACAAATTCTTCTTCAATTTTGGTATTATTCTTCAATTTTGGTACAGSCTCCTATTTCCATCCATACCCAATTGGATATAAAATTTAATGTCCCTGAGCATTTATTTAATGAGAAAAACATACTTATTAAGAATTCATGGCTATCAAATTATTTTAAAATTAACTTTTTGAAGTTATAAAGATATTAGAGGTCTTAAGCAATATCTAATAGCACAGTACAACAGTTAATCTGAGGGGTGAGAAATTCCAAGTCAGGGTGATGGTACTAGGTCAGTATAGTAAAACCCTCAAAGGGTTTGGCGTTCGTATGTGTCAGTTTTTTTTATAAACYTATTAAATTTTTTCCTTATTTCCCATGGTTTTTCATCTTAACAATTTAATTTTTTCCAAACAGGCGTACTAAATGGTCCAGATATACGAAASCTGATTAAAAGTGACGCATGCAACAATATTTTGATTGACGCTGAATTGAATGCATGGCAGGCAATGAAAGAAGTAATAGAAGGCTTGTTGGGAAAGCATTGTTCTAACAGCTACGACGTTTCTGTCGCAAGGATGTTAAGAGCATTCTCGGAAATTGTTTTTTTTTTTTTTTTGGTTTTTGCCAAAATGTTACAACTAAGCGTAAAAACATCAAGATAAGGAAAAAATTTAAAAGGTCATAAAAAATGAGTTGATTCCGGGGCAAAGCACAATAAATAGACATGATGTAGTTGCAAGAGTTTTTAGACTAAAAGTTAAGAAACTTATGGATGTAATGGCAAAAACGTGGACTGCCACATGCCCATATATTATTGTGGTTAAAAGATAAGTTACGACCCGATCAAATAGATAACATAATCAGCGCTGAAATACCGGATTCTAACATTGACATTATTGTAAATAATATGATTCACGGTCCATGCCGAATGACCCGAAAATCCACAGTGCCCCTGCATGAAAGACGGAAAATGCACAAAAAAATTTCCTCTCAAGTTAGTGAAAGAGACYGTTCACAATGACTACGGATACCCGCAGTATCGTAGAAGAGCTCCAGCAGACGGAGGTCTAACAGCAACCGTGAAGCTCCGACATGGTAGCTACTTTACGGTTGATAATAGTTGGGTAGTCCCCTATTCACCAATTGTATCAAAAATTTTTWAMGCCCACATAAATGTTGAGGTATGGAGTTCAGTACGCGCCATCAAATATATCTGCAAATATATAAACAAGGGTAGTGATCAAGCTATTTTCAATTTTAGAAATGCTGAATTTTAGAATACTGTAAATCCCGTAGATGAGGTAGAAACTTATCAGTCTGGTCGGTATGTCAGCAGCAACGAAGCCGTGTGGCGTCTGTTAGGATTTCCGTTGCACAAAAGGCCTCCCACAGTGACACATCTCAGCGTGAATTTAGAAAATGGTGAACGCGTGTATTTTAATGAACACAATTTCCACGAACGAATAACTGCTCCGCCAAAAACCACTCTCACTGCTTTTTTTGATCTTTGTATCAGAGATAAGTTTACAAAAACTCTTCTTTATGTCGAGGTGGCGAGGTATTATACTTGGGATGCAAGTAGGTTGGCAAGAGTTGTTGGCATTCAAGATAGTTTTGTTCAGGATTGGAATGACGTCAAACCTGAAGATGCTTTAGGACGAGTTTATACAGTTCATGTTAGTAACATGGAATGTTTTGTCAGTGATCTAAAAAAATACAACACAAGAGATTACTCAACATTTTGAGAGGCATGTGAGGCAAGAGGATTACTGGAGAATGATAACCATTGCGATGTCACACTCTAAGAAGTTCCTCAATGTATATCAGCAGGCAAGATGAGAGAGCTAATTTATTGCTGTATTATTAGCAACATGTGGTGTTTCAAATCCTCAACAATTGTGGGATAAATACAAAAATGATATGACGGACGATATATTGCACACATTACAAGAGCAAAATCCCAATGTCACGTACAATGATTTAATTTACAATGAGGGTCTGACAAAAAATTTAAGACCAGATTAAAAAAATTTCTGGAAACGATTTATCAGATTATGGAATGAACAAACCACAGAGAACCGAGAAAATCAGTAGCGGTTTAATACGGGAACTAGATTACGATACTGCTTACTTACAATTAACAGAGTCTGCGTGGACGTATGTTGCTGCGATAAAAAYTATTAGTTTGGGATGAGTGTACCATGTTCCATAAAAGAGAAATTGAAGCTCTAGATCGGACTTTGAAAGACATCAAGAGTAATCCAAATATCATGGGGGGATGGTGGTATTTTTAGCGGGCGATTTTAAACAGACTTTGCCGGTTATAACTAAAGGCACCCTTGCAGATGAAATAAATGCGTGTTTAAAAGCGTCAACGTTATGGGTTTAGTCTGTCTACAAATATAAGAGTGCAACTACACAATGATGTACAATCTGGACAATATGCTGCTGCTCTTCTTATATATTCTAGATGATCGTTTGGCAAAGGATGGTAATGGCATGATAACATTGGATCGTGAATTCTGCAATGTTGTGCATAATCCAGATGATCTAAGTAACTTCATCTATAGCGAACTGCTAACTAATATGAGGAATAGAGAATGGTTATGTGAAAGATCAATTTTAGCGCCGACGAATGAAATGGTTGGACAGATAAACGAGCAAATTGTCACGCGTGGGAGGTGATATTGTTGAGTTTTTCTCTTTAGACACTGTAAYGGRTACTGAGCAAGTAGAATTTCTTAATTCTCTAGAACTGTCGGGAGTACATCACACAAACTGAGGCTGAAAGTAGGCGTTCCTGTCCTTTTGATGCGGAATTTAAATGCACCAAGACTGTGTAATGCCACACGGTACCAAGTAACACACCTCGGTCGCAACATTATAAAAGCAATCATTATGACTGGAATGGCAAAAAGGAGAGAATATTTTAATCCCCCGTATACCCATAATTCCGACAGATCTGCCATTCCAGCAAACATTAAAAGTAGCCGGCATTAATTTAGAAAAGAGTTGTTGGCTTGCTCACGTGTTTCAAGTCCACAGATTCTCCATGTGTTGGCCAGAGAGGGAAAAACAAAGAACATAGTTTACAAAATAAGCTACAGTAATAACGCCTCTTATTTTTAGCATCCTACATTATTATATTACGTACATTACGTTAGTACTTCCTACGCAGACGATGTTGCGGATGTAACACTATCNGCCCACATAAATGTTGAGGTATGGAGTTCAGTACGCGCCATCAAATATATCTGCAAATATATAAACAAGGGTAGTGATCAAGCTATTTTCAATTTTAGAAATGCTGAATTTTAGAATACTGTAAATCCCGTAGATGAGGTAGAAACTTATCAGTCTGGTCGGTATGTCAGCAGCAACGAAGCCGTGTGGCGTCTGTTAGGATTTCCGTTGCACAAAAGGCCTCCCACAGTGACACATCTCAGCGTGAATTTAGAAAATGGTGAACGCGTGTATTTTAATGAACACAATTTCCACGAACGAATAACTGCTCCGCCAAAAACCACTCTCACTGCTTTTTTTGATCTTTGTATCAGAGATAAGTTTACAAAAACTCTTCTTTATGTCGAGGTGGCGAGGTATTATACTTGGGATGCAAGTAGGTTGGCAAGAGTTGTTGGCATTCAAGATAGTTTTGTTCAGGATTGGAATGACGTCAAACCTGAAGATGCTTTAGGACGAGTTTATACAGTTCATGTTAGTAACATGGAATGTTTTGTCAGTGATCTAAAAAAATACAACACAAGAGATTACTCAACATTTTGAGAGGCATGTGAGGCAAGAGGATTACTGGAGAATGATAACCATTGCGATGTCACACTCTAAGAAGTTCCTCAATGTATATCAGCAGGCAAGATGAGAGAGCTAATTTATTGCTGTATTATTAGCAACATGTGGTGTTTCAAATCCTCAACAATTGTGGGATAAATACAAAAATGATATGACGGACGATATATTGCACACATTACAAGAGCAAAATCCCAATGTCACGTACAATGATTTAATTTACAATGAGGGTCTGACAAAAAATTTAAGACCAGATTAAAAAAATTTCTGGAAACGATTTATCAGATTATGGAATGAACAAACCACAGAGAACCGAGAAAATCAGTAGCGGTTTAATACGGGAACTAGATTACGATACTGCTTACTTACAATTAACAGAGTCTGCGTGGACGTATGTTGCTGCGATAAAAAYTATTAGTTTGGGATGAGTGTACCATGTTCCATAAAAGAGAAATTGAAGCTCTAGATCGGACTTTGAAAGACATCAAGAGTAATCCAAATATCATGGGGGGATGGTGGTATTTTTAGCGGGCGATTTTAAACAGACTTTGCCGGTTATAACTAAAGGCACCCTTGCAGATGAAATAAATGCGTGTTTAAAAGCGTCAACGTTATGGGTTTAGTCTGTCTACAAATATAAGAGTGCAACTACACAATGATGTACAATCTGGACAATATGCTGCTGCTCTTCTTATATATTCTAGATGATCGTTTGGCAAAGGATGGTAATGGCATGATAACATTGGATCGTGAATTCTGCAATGTTGTGCATAATCCAGATGATCTAAGTAACTTCATCTATAGCGAACTGCTAACTAATATGAGGAATAGAGAATGGTTATGTGAAAGATCAATTTTAGCGCCGACGAATGAAATGGTTGGACAGATAAACGAGCAAATTGTCACGCGTGGGAGGTGATATTGTTGAGTTTTTCTCTTTAGACACTGTAAYGGRTACTGAGCAAGTAGAATTTCTTAATTCTCTAGAACTGTCGGGAGTACATCACACAAACTGAGGCTGAAAGTAGGCGTTCCTGTCCTTTTGATGCGGAATTTAAATGCACCAAGACTGTGTAATGCCACACGGTACCAAGTAACACACCTCGGTCGCAACATTATAAAAGCAATCATTATGACTGGAATGGCAAAAAGGAGAGAATATTTTAATCCCCCGTATACCCATAATTCCGACAGATCTGCCATTCCAGCAAACATTAAAAGTAGCCGGCATTAATTTAGAAAAGAGTTGTTGGCTTGCTCACGTGTTTCAAGTCCACAGATTCTCCATGTGTTGGCCAGAGAGGGAAAAACAAAGAACATAGTTTACAAAATAAGCTACAGTAATAACGCCTCTTATTTTTAGCATCCTACATTATTATATTACGTACATTACGTTAGTACTTCCTACGCAGACGATGTTGCGGATGTAACACTATCTAACATCGGGGGTTGGCAGGTAGGTAGTTAGTAGTATTTTAAACCGATTTACATTATTTACTTTTTATATTTACTAAGAAAACATTCGGAGCTATCCATTATGTGCTTAGGTTGCTTTTGAAGAAATTTTGATGTGAAGTTGAGGACTGGAACACGATAGTGGGACATTGTTGCAGGAGGACTTACAGCCGGGAAAAAATGAAAAAACTTATGCGAACGAAATCACGGGTAAAAGCTAGTATATAATAAAGGTTACTAGAGATTAGTATAAAAAAGTTGAGCTACCAAAGGACAGTAAATAATTAGTAATATTACCTAACCAAGTTCGTTTGGTATTATTCGTGCGTTATTCAAACCTATTCTAATTGTAATGTTCGGTATTTAATCTACCACTTACTTAATGTGTCCCTCATACTGTTTAAAACTTGCTCGAGTCGCGTCATCTGCTTTAAGCTGTGCTTCCTTCCATTTTCGAAATGAGTCAATAACCTTCTCATTTTGTTTGCGTAGATCACATTGTTTTCTTCAAATTTTAAAGAACAAAATTTTGTTTTGAAATTTCTATAATACTTAAAAATACTGTATAATATACCTGTACTCAATCTCGAGTTGCTTGTAGTCATCGCAAAGTACGTTGAATTGTCGCTTTAGCTCATTGTTCGCCTCTTGAAGTCGCTTTGTACAGTCTTTTTGTGTTGATTCACTGCGTTGCATGATATGTTGCTGCTCCTTCATTACATCGTGTGCCGTATATAATTCATTTTCTGTCTTCAATAATTTATCTCCCAGACATCTTTGTTTATTTAGTAATTTCGCCTCTTTTTCTTTCAAAGCGAGTACCTCATCTCTTAATAGATTACGCTAAAAGAAATGCATCAATACCCCGTAACCTCAATCTAATTACATATATGTTTACACTGGCGAACAAAACTGTTTCATATATAATATATTATAACATATATTAATTAGGGCATTATTTATTTTCATAACTCAAAATTGCAGCTAACGTTCATATTCACGCACAAAAATATATATGTAAATGTTGGTGTATATCAAGGAAGCATACTGGAATCTGTCCTTAATACAATATTTGACAAAACTTTACATTACACAAGTAAGGAAATGCTAAGTTCGGGTCTAACCGAACTACATACAATTATTAACAGAAAAAGATGCTCTAGTTTTATAAAAAGTAAATTGAACTTTAGTGAGATCTAGGGCAAGTTTGTACCAACTTTTTTATGATTTAACAATACACTGGAATATTTATAATAATTTTGCCATTTTCTCATCATAATCAAAAAATGTCCCCGAAATATGGCTTTTCAGTTAAATTGGCACCACCCATGCATAAAATTTAAGATCGAGTCTTATAAATCTCCTTTGTACCATCTCGGGTGTTAGATTTTATATATTTGTCATATGCTTAAATAACACTGATCAACAAAGTTTTTTAACAAAAAAAGGAAGCAGTACTTTCGAAACATCTACCTAAACTCTCTGCAAAATCATACGTATATTGMTTTGATTAGGACYAGTTTCCGTGTTCTGGTAGTTATCAGTAAAGTTTAATACAAGTTAAAGTTTAAGTTTCCTTATTATTTTCTAAGTCAGTGCTTTATTTTTCARAAAAGTGATTGTATTTTTTGTTTGCTAAGTGGAGTGAGTCAAGAAAGTATAAAAATGATCCTGACAAGTTCTGTTACAATTGTGGTGAAATAATGTTTGTATCTCAATGAAAAAATTTAACACCTTTATTAAAAAAAAATTATTTGAAAGTTATGTATTTCKGTTTTCTGTTAGACAGTGTGGGTTCCACATATCTGTTGTGTTACGTGTGTAGGACTCCTCGCGAGTTGGGGAAAAAAGATCTCGATTTATGCCTTTCGGAATTTCGATGATTTGGATGGAGCCGACAGACTATTCAACTAATTGTTATTTTTGTCTGWCTAATACAAAAGACATTACAATTAAAACTAAAAATAAAATTAAGTATTATGATGTGCCATCTCCTAAAAAAAGCCATTCCTCACAGTGAAGAACTAACTACATCAAAACCACCTCAGCGCTCTGATCTTTCAACTGAATCAGAGGAAACAGATATTATGGATAAGTACTGATCCTGGTTTTCAAATTGCTTCTTCATTTGTCTGTGTCCAGGAAGAAACACCACAACTACTATCTAAAGGAGATCTTAATGATTTAGTTCGTGATTTACACTTGTCTAAACAACAAGAAGAACTTTTAGGATCTCGATTAAAAAGATGGAATTTATTTAAACCAAACACAAAAATAACTTTTTTTCGGTCGATATGAAGAGTTAAAAAGCTTTTTTTCGCAAGATAATGATTTAATATTTTCGAACAGTGTCAGTGATGTTATGAATATTTTGGGATCACAACACAAAATTAAAGAGTGGCGTTTATTTATTGATTCTTCAAAAACAAGCTTAAAGGCAGTTTTGTTACATAATGGAAATAATCTTCCCTCCGTACCGGTAGGTTATGGTGCTAACATGAAAGAATCCTATGAAACAATCAAATTTCTTTTAGAAAAGATTCAGTATGACGAACATAAATGGAAATTTGTGGAGATTTAAAAGTTGTTTGAARCTTGGGTATACAAAATTTTGTTGTTTTCTTTGTGAATGGGACAGTAGGGTTAGGAAGAACCATTAMGTGAAGAAAAATTGGTGCAAAAGCCGACCTATTACTCCAGGATTAAAAACGATTTAGACGCATATTTATCAGAATTGTTCACTCTATAAAAGTGACCAGTGCAACAAAGTCGTAACTCACACCGGGTAGTACGGGGCTCTAAACCTGATTTTTCCATGAAATTCGCATTTTTTTTTTTAAATTATCTCGTAAATGATAAGAGCTAAGGAAAAATGTAAATGACAAATTTGTAGGAAATTTTATTTTATTTACTTAAAAAGTCGAATATCTCGAGAACCTTTTCTATAGCAAATTGTTTCATTGAATACTTTTGTAGAGTAAACAACTCTGAGAAATATGCGTCTAAAGTCAAAGCGATGCCATAAAATACCTTTGATCTTAATTTAAAGATAAAAACTCACGATTGGAGTGTGTTTTCTACGGAAAATTTTTACCGGCCTTGGTCCAGTTCTTTACGTTAATATTATGGGCTAAAATTTTTAGGGAATTTTGTTTAGGGTATTTCAAGGAAATTACGTGACGGAACTGAAAAAAATTAATAGTTCAAAACAAAAAAAAAAAACACCCTGGTATATACATATATATATCTTTACATATAATATATCACATTTTATATTAACAACATTTTCATATTCATATTTTTATGAACAATCTATATTCATGATATTAGTGATGTGGAAATGTATATTTACGAAATTTTCAGTATTGAGTGAAGTATTAGAAGTGCTTTTAGGCTAAGGTCTAGGCCGATTCCAATCACATTTAGAGCTAAACCACATTACTTTTAAAGAAATATGCCCATTTAAGGTAGAAGTCTGGTAACCTGGGTTCGAAAAATCGAATTTTTTTTGCTTAATTTGAAAGTACAATGTCTTGAGAAAATACTGTAAAATTTCAGAAAGAAATTCGAAATATTTCGGGAGTTATAACGTGTTTCCTAKAGCGCTTCAGTGTCCAACTTTTAAGGTCGACCGAACTTTAAACGAGTTTTTCTCAAAACATTGTTTTTCTGGTCCGCCCGGGTCCTAACTTTTTTATACTGAACGTATTGCTCTCAAGTTTTAACAGGCTGCTCTTATAGTTCTCGTTGGTACTAACAAGAATTTTTTCACCCCTAACTTCTTAATTTACAACCCTTTCTTTGCTAAAATAATAGAATTTTTTTCATTTTTCTATTTACCATTGAAATTTTACTTAATAGTTACGACCAGAATGGCATGTCTGTAGATAACATCTAAWCAAGAATATTTGATTTCAGATAACGTCAAGAGCCAAAATCACCCGGGCCACATATGTACGTGCATTTTTTTTGGGGTTCCAACTTCGAGTGACAATAATAATAGTAATAAAGTATTAAATTTTTTTAAATAATTTTTTTTTTCAATATGTAAATAAAAACACCCTAAATAATATAAAAAGCGACCCTCCAAATAAGTCATGAAAATAGGCATAAGCTACCAAATTAATACCTTAAATTACATACCTAAATACTATATCACACACTAAATAAACGGTTTGAAGTCAATTTTAAAGTCGTAAATTACTTTGTGAGGTATATGGCTTATGGGAACTTTTGACCTTATTTAACCGAGTTTTGATACAATCTCATAGAATAACTGAATTTTAAGAAAATGTTCTTTTCTAATCACTGAAATCCGCTAATCGGATATTAGGGGCTTGAAAATGTTTAGATTTAATTTTTTTGGATGTAAGAGGGATTAAAGGCATGCAAAGTTTGGTTGCGATATCTTGAATGATTATTGGGTTATGTGAGGTGAAACCCCCAATGAAAAGAAACAACAAGCCTCTGATGAAAGACCCCCCTTTTGAAAGCGACCAGGGCAAATGAATTAAARACTATGACTGGTTGATGTCATCGTTAGAGTAAAGGCTGACATCACCGCCGTCTAAGAAAAGCGGTGGACGGGACAAGGACTGAGACGAGTAGGTCCTTGTGGCATTTACTATAGTGGCCATATAAAGGAGCGCAAATTTTGGTGTTGGATTCGTTTTGGGAGAGAGACTCCGTCGCCCAGTACTATCATTCACTCCGGTGAATGAACGTTTAGCCACAATCCGCATCAAAGCGAGGTTCATCAACATATCGCTGATTTGCGCCCATGCCTCGACGGAAGATGCCTTCTATGCGCGTTTGGAGCACACCTATAAGAGCTACCCCCGCCACGATGTCAAAATCGTGCTTGGCGACTTTAACGCCAGGGTGGGTTAAGAAGGTATTTTTGGCACGAGGAAACATTCCCAAATGGGATGAGGCTGATTCGGCGGGGCCCGAAATATGGTTATATGTTGTACTAGATTGCAGCATAAGAAGACTCATCAAGCCACCTGGCTGCACCCGGATCGAAAAACCAGCAACCAGATCGATCGTGTTATTATAAACGAAAGCCACGTCTCCAGTGTTTTAGATGTACGTGCGCTCCGAGGTCCTAACATCGACTCAGATCACTATCTTGTTGCAGCCAAGATTCGCACCCGCCTCTGTGCAGCAAAMAACGCGCGCCAACAAACACAAAGAAGGTTCGACGTCGATGAGCTGCAATCACAACAGACAGCCGAACGACTTCCTACTCAGCTGGCACTCCTGGTCTCTGAGAGCACTGGTCAACAACTCGGTATAAGGGAACTGTGGGGCGGTATTCCAAACTCCTTACGAACAGCTGCAGCCGAAACAATTGGTTTTCGGAAAAAGCAAAAGAACAGCTCGTACGACGAGGAGTGTCGCGTCGCAGCAGAGAGAAAACAGGCTCGTGGCGTTACGATCGACCACAACACGTGCGGGATGGAATAGATACCGAGAGTTGAAGAGGGAAGCGAGACGTATTTGCAGACAGAAAAAGAAATATATCGAAATACGTGAATATGCAGAGCTTGATAACCTGATAATTCTACGAAAAAATACGGCGATTTACGGAAGGTTTCAAGACCGTAACATACTCTTGTAGAACCCCCAAAGATGATCTAGTGACCGATGCCCAGAGCACACTTAAATTATAGAGCGAACACTTCTCCAGCCAGCTGAATGGCAGTGAACGCACAACGCCAAGAGTAKKCGAACCCGATTCCCCAATCGATGACGATGGAGCAGACGTTCCATTGCCCGACCATGAAGAAGTTCGAATAGCAATTACCCGCCTGAAGAACAACAAAGCAGCGGAGGCCGATGGGTTACCGGCCGAGCTATTTAAACACGGCGGCGAAGAGCTTATAAGGAGCATGCATCAGCTTCTTTGTAAAGTATGGTCGGACGAAAGCATGCCCAACGATTGGAATTTAAATGTGCTCTGCCAACTACTGTGTGAAAGACTAAAGTCCACCGTCAACAAACTGATTGACCTTATCAGTGTGGTTCTAGGTTCGCCAAATCTTGGAAAAGACCCGTGAAAGGAGAATCGACACACACCACCTCTTCTTCGATTTCAAAGTTGTTTTCGACAGCCCGAAGAGGAGCTGCCTTTACGCCTCTCTTGCTGGAGAAAATAATTCGAGCTGCAGAACTTAATCGAGCAGGCACAATCTTTTATAGGAGTGTACAGCTGCTGGCGTATGCGGCCTCAACATCCGCGCCGTTAGTTTTGCTTTCTCCAGACTGGACATGGAAGCAAAGCAAATAAGCTTGGCTGTGAACGAGGGCAAGACGAAATATCTAGTGTCATCAAAAAAAAAAATCGTCGCACTCGGGACTTGGCTCTCACGTCACTGTTAACAGTCATAACTTTGAAGTTGTAGATAATTTAGTATATTTGGTAACCGGTATAAACACCACCAACAATGTCAGCCAGGAAATCCAACGCAGGATAACTCTTGCCAACAGTTGCTACTTCGGACTGAGTAGGCAATTGAAAAGTAAAGTCCTCTCTCGACGAACAAAAGCCAAATCTATAAGTCGCTCATAATTCCCGTCCAGCTATATTTTGATGAGGATTGGACGATGACAACAACTGATGGGTTGACGTTGCGAGTTTTTGAGAGAAAGTTCTGCTAAAGATTTTAGGGTCCTTAGCGCGTTTGCCACGGCGAATATCGCATTCGATGGAACGATGAGCTGTATGATATATATGACGACATTGACATAGCTCAGCGAATTAAAGACAGCGGCTACGCTGATTAGGTTATATTGTCCAAATGGACGAAAAAACTCCAGCTCTGAAAGTATTCGACGCTGTATCCCCGGGGGAAGCAGAGGAAGAGGAAGACCTCTACTCCATTGAAAGGACTAAGCGGAGAAAGATCCAATTATCTCTTGGAATATCCAATTGGCGCCAAGGTGACACTGATTATTTGTTAGAATGTTATTGTGAACAGAACAGAAATAATTGAACGAAAGTTAAATATTGGATAAAGAATTTGCAGAATTTAAAATAAAATAAAATAGTAGAAACGAATTAGTGAAGTGTTAGTGGATACAGACTAACACGTAAAATGTTCCTTGTATCTTAGTTGTAGTCGCCAGTGTAGCTTTACCTCCATGTTATGCTCCTCTTGTCGTTTATCCATCAGTGCTAAACRTTCTTGTAGGCAGTTCATTTGCGCACAGGCGGCTCTTAACTGTTTCGCCTGATCCTCATAGTTCCGTTCCAGTTCTTCGTATTTTTTACAAATATCTATCCGACAATCATTTTGTGACTTCAATAATTTATTTAATCGATGCATCTGCGTACTTAAGTTATCTGCAAAATAATATCGTTAATATTAATAACTAGACAGGGTTAAAATTTCAATTTTTGTGTATGTACATTACTTATATTACCCTAATAACTTAATTACAAAAAATTTTACACATGAGTTCAATATTCGTAATTAGGTGCCAGAAATGATATGCTATCATCATTAAGATATTTGGAAATTTGAATAGGAAACATCTAGTTTAAAATAACCAGACTAACACAATTTATATTTCTGACGTACATAGTGGTATGAAATAATTAGCAATTTCAAACTATAGCATTATTTGGAACGTGGGTTTGAAGTTAAAAAAAATACTGTTTTGCGAGTTTATTTCTTTTTTATTCGGACCTTTTGCACATTATTGAGCATACTTTAGCAATCTAGGGTAATTTTTTCATGCAGAAAAAACCCATCCTTCTCCGATAATTTTTTTATTTTAAAAATTTCGGCTGCCATTTAAAGTGAAAACTGTTATTTTCAACTAAAAAATTCAGCCATTTTGTGGCTGGAAAACACTTTTAATGTAAAAAAAATTACGAAACGATGGAGGGAGATATTTTATAAAATGTGTACAAAGTTTGAAATGATGCGGTCAAGTAGTTTCGAAATGATAGTGAACACGGACTTTGAGAAAAAGGCGTCAAAAATTTATAAACTAAAAAAGTAAAAACAAAACATTACCCTATATTGTCAAAAATGTGTTCAGTAATGTACAAAGGCTTCGAATAAATTACTCAATCCATATTTAAGAAATAAATTCGCAAAGAAAGTAATTTTTTTACCATGAAAACTTTAYAAATCACAAAATCTTTTTATTTATAACTTTGGAATAATTAGAAGTTTGAATAAAATATTTTATTTTTTATAGGAAAAAAAAATAATAAAAAATGTAGTGTTTTTTCAAGGTTACACGGGTTTTCTTTAATATAAAATGTTGTTTCATTAAATTCAAACGTTAACTCGATATATTCTTATAATTTTGCAACATGTTGCTACGTAGTACAATAGTTTTGTGCACCAASAAGTTGCTTGTATCACCTAGAACTAATTGAGATAGAAATGGAGTTATATATCAGGAAGACGAGACGAGTTCAATTTCGAGTGACTGTCTGGCTGTCCGAGCAAGTGACCACTTGAGGAAAAAAAWTAATAATCTTGGTTTATTCCTTAGCTCCAGGGACGGTTGGTAATCCAAATGAGCAGATTTGCACCATTACCACGCCCACAAAACGCCATTAATCGAAAACTTATTAAGAACCACAATTARGCTCTTTAATAAGATACATGGTTGTTACATAATACAACGAATTGTATTAGGGAGGGGCATCTTTGTTTGAAATTTGTTTAAAAAGTGGCCGAGGCCCCTTTAATAAATTTAATTTGCATATCTCCTAAGCTATACGGGAAATGCAACCACGTTCAGAAGACCGGGATGCGAGGAAACCACACCAGATATCACCCTATCAACAGAACGCATGGCAGGCTCAATAAATAATTGGAAARTCCTGGAGGATTACACCGGCAGCGATCATCACTACATCTCTTTCATGATAAACACTGGAGGAAACGGCTGCCAGCTCAGAAAAAATAGCGGAACTCGAAAGTGGAACATCTGGAAACTAGACACATCGAAATTAATCGCCGCAATAGATGAGCAGAACCCATCTAGCGACCACTCCCTTATAGCAGGAAAAACAGTCGAGCACACAATGCTTAATATAAACAGAGCTTGCCAAAAATCAATGCCCAAGGCTTCCCACAGCAAACGTAAAGCAGCAATTTACTGGTGGACTGAAAATATCGCCCAGCTCAGATGCACATGCCTTCGCGAGGAGACGCACCCCAAGAAGCCGAGCAATATAAATCAGCAAAAAAGGAGCTGAAGCACGCCATCGACGACTGTAAAAAGAGAAAATGGGAGGAACTACGGGAGGATATAAACAGAAACCCCTGGGGGCTAGGGTATAAAATAGTGATGAAAAAACTCGGCGCTCGAGCAAAGCCACCTGACGTAACCGCTGCCAAAATGGATCTAATCGTGAACGCACTATTCCCCACACACGAAATAAGGGCCAGGGACCCAGAACAAACTCTAAGTACCGCGAAAATCCCCCAGTTTACTCTTGAAGAGCTGCAAGCAGCCACTGGCAAGCTCAAGACCAACAAATCACCCGGCCCGGACGGGATCCCAGATACAGTTTTTTTTATTAAGAATAAATGCAGAAGGTGCATTATTTGACCGAATCAGCCGTTCATATATCACTAGATTCTGCAATGGGCTCGACTTGTATATTTCGGTATAGGATTTTTGCAGTCTGCGATAAAAATAGCGATTCTAATGCCATACTTTGGAACACACCTTGTATTTTGAATCGGAACACGCCTTGTATTTAATCGATAACATCAGTCAACCCCTCAGATAAATATGTATATTACGGATATTRAAATTGTAAACGAATTTTCGATCTTTACAATTTTTCCAACTGTATGGGAGTTATCGTTTGGACAGACAGACGACCATTTGAAGAATAAAACTGCTTCATTCTTGTGAGAAATGTTGCATGGGTTGTTTTTAATGTTTTTAAAATTTTGGTGTGATGTTTCACTGCACAATCACATTACACACACTATAGTATACCATCCCAAGATTTCAGGGTTAAAATTCATTTAAAGCTGAAAATGTCAACTATCTGAAGCACATATTTTTTTAATTTGAAATGTATTTCACATTTATATTGCCCATTTTTATATACTCTAACACATCGCTAATTCGTTTGTACACATGTAACTATTTCAGATAATATAGTGCGAATATATCTTTAATTCAGTATTTTACTTGTTGTTGAATTATATTTATTCACACAATAACAAATCCAATCCTCTATCCAACCATACCCATTTTAATTATAAAATCTTGGAATGGTATACTAAAGTTTCCTTCTATAAATTCATACTACAGCAGGTACATATATATGTATGTATATGTTAATGTGTACATTTTTGGAACTCTCACCGTGTTTCCGTTTACTGTCATTCAATTCTTCGTTCAGTTTACGAGTTTCGCAAAGCAAAAACCGCTCCTGCTTTTGGCTTTGTTTTAGTTCACATCCAAGTGATTCAACTTTTTTATTCGCCTGTTCCACCTTCTGACACAACTCTCGTATTTCCTTGTCTTTAGCTTTAAGACAACAGTCGTTAGAACATTGTTGTTCGCATCGCAGTTGGTCTAGCATACTATTTAGCTTTCCTATGCATTGCTCTTTTTCCAAAATGGTATCCTGCAGTTGCTGTACCTGACATCGAAGATTTTCGTTCTGCAAGTGAAAGAATTCATTCTATTTATATTACATATAAATCGTTAGCAAAAATATTTTTCGGACACTCTGGATAAGTTCATAACAGTGTTTCTGATTGTCGTGTGCAACTTGTTCCAATGCATGCTGCAGTAAGTCGTTTTGGGATTCCAATGTTTTGAGAGAAGATTCAAGCATTGTGCGGCGATCCTCATCATGTTCGGATGATTCACAAAACTCTTTTTGTACCATGGCCAGTTGTCTCGAGATGAACGTTAATTCGTTCTTTAATTCATTGACGATGCTTAAGTAATTGTCATAAGTAGAAAGCATATGTGTTTTATCCCATAATTTAAATGGATGCTGAAATTGGTCGCTGTGTGGACAGTCACCTGACTTGTAAAAAAAGAGACAGCTTAAATAGTGACATTTGTTCATTGCATTTTTAAGTGAAATCAAAAACAAAAACCTTACCATGTTGATGACAGTGATATGAGTATATTTATATTGATATTGGCTTAAACTTATTCCGTTAATTGCTGATAATTATTCGTAATAATTATTAAACCAATCATTTTACGCGACTATGTATTGGTGAATATGCCATTTAATTTTTACCATTTGACAACGCGTAGGAACATTTTGTTTGTTAAAAAGTTATACAAATATTTTTTTGTAATGGTTTGATTTTTTATTTACGTTCCTCACATAGCAATTTTTGACTAAATAGAAATTTGAGTGTATCTTCGAAATTAAAGTAAGTGCCTGCGAATGTGAATACGTATCAGGAAGTTTGAAAGGGCTATGTTCAAAAGGAACTAAACACTCCATTTTATATTATGAAAGACGATCTCATATCATTTGCTGCAATATGACATTAGGCAAATGTACTAATCTAAAAGAAGTTTAAATGATTTATTTATAGTCATATATTTTATATCAATGTAGAAGAATAAGGATGTGGTGAGCATACGGTTTGCTGAAAGTCGGCTAAATGTCATACCTATTTCTTCTTTTAATACTCTCGCAACACAGTACACCACGGGTCGCAGTACATTCCTCAAATTTCAATTTAGCCTGGCAACATATTGAAACAGAGAGTATAACTACTTTGTTCACCGAACGGTTGTTGATACCTGAATCTATTGAGACATATGTGCATATAGTACATATGTATATGTACATATATAAATGATCAGAATTGTAAATTAAATTCCGATTCCCTGGATGTTCGTCCGTTCGCTCGTTTTAGCGATAACTTAAAAAGTGAGATATATTAATGAAACATACTATCCTTAGGACCATAAGAAGATTTGTATTGTAGATGGGCGTAATTAGACGTCTGTGACCTCCAGAAAATAAAATTTTGTGGAGCAAGTTTACCAATTTACTGTAAAAGTCACCACTAGATAAGTAAGTGATTACGCGGAATAAATACAATTTAACAAGTAAGGAAGGGCTAAGTTCGGGTCCAACCGAGCACTTTATTCTCTTGCAACTTGGAGAAATCAATGCCAGGGAAATAGCTTAAGGTACTTATACACTGACCGAAATATTCTTCTAAGGTAAGTTGGGATAGTATCGACTCGATTTTTTATTTTTTCCAATACGACATACTATTAACATGCTAAAAAAATGTTCCTTGGGTTTCATTAAGGTACCTTACATACAATCACCAATCATATGAAAAAAGTCAAGTGTATGCTCGAAAATCCTTGCAATAGTTATGTGGGGGCAAGATCAAGTTTTCGCCCAATTTTATCTCTTTAAAAACATGTAAAATATGTTTTCATTGCGATATCTAAAATTTGGCCGGTATATCCAGCATAAAGCCATCTAACGCTTCGAAAATCTTTTTATTAGGTATATGGGGGCTCAAGGAAGTATTGACCCGATTCAACTCATTTTTGACACACAGAATTACTATTGTCAAGAAAGGGTTTTGTCTGAATTTCAACTGCATATCTCACAAATTGATCGATATTTTCGATTATAAGTCAACTATAGATACTGGGATCCACATATTCGTTACCTAGGGGCTTGAACAAGTTTGGTTGGATTGGAACAATTTTTGGTCGTAAGCTTTAATTTTTGTAGGAACTATTAGTGCATAATTTTATCCCGTTAAGTCCTGAGATATGTGATTTCACCAAAAAGTGGACGATGCCACGCCCATCATTAAATTTTCACACTGGCTTCTATAAAGTCCTCTCATACCATCTTGGTGATAAAATTATAATATTTGTGCCGAGAAAATTTGGTTATGGTAGCTTTAGTAGTAAAAGATATATGAACATTAAACCTATTATATCAGTGGCAATTGAACTAARCAACACAAACTCAATACAAGTGATTATATAACGCCTAACAACGAATTTTAGCGACCCCTCCTTGTTTCATTGATTTTGGCCTCTATTCGGTCAAGATGTGACATAGCTTTGGCTATGGAATTGGAATTRGAATTTGGAATTGCGGCGACTCTTCTAGATSGCGGTCGTACTGYACATTCTGCGCTTAAGTTTCCATGCAATTTAAACGCAATTGATACTCCAACCTGCAGTATTTGCCGATCCAGTGCAATGGGAAAATTGTTGATGCAATGCCAGCTCATTGTTTGGGATGAGTKCACAATGGCACATAATAAATCACTTGAAACACTTAACTTAATACTGAAGGATCTTCGGCGAAATAACAACATCTTTGGCGGCTTGATGATGTTGTTGGCAGGCGATTTCAGGCAGACGTTGCCAGTAATTCACCGTGGAACGCCTGCAAACGAATTGAATGCTTGCCAGAATGCATCACCTTTATGGAATAACGTAAAAAYATTATCGCTAACCACTAATATGAGAGTTCAACTTCAAAATGATAGACTCATATTTAGCTCTTATTGAAAATGTTTTCCCAAAAATTARTGAGAATTATCAGAATTATGCTTGGTTAAGTCAACGAGCAATCCTTGCCGCATAGAATAATGATGTACGCACACTGAATTTCACCATTCAATCAAAAATTGCTGGCGATTTGGTGACATACAAATCCGTTGATTCCATAACAAATCATGATGATTTAGTAAATTATCCAACCTAGTTTTTTAACTCTCTGGAGTTACCAGGATTTCCACCACATAACTTGCAACTCAAAGTTGGTACAGTTGTTATGATATTGCGTAATGTGAATCCATCGCGACTTTAAAACGGTACTCGACTTTCGGTAAAAAGACTTATGCCGAATTTGATGAAGCCAACCATTATTAACGGAAAGTACGCAGGTGAAAATAAATAAAAAATTGATATTTCCTCGGATATCAATGATTCCGACTGACCTTCCATTTAACTTCAAACGATTGCAATTTCCAGTTCGTCTTGCGTTCGCACTGACAATTAACAAGTCGCAAAGCCAATCGCTTAGGGTTTGCGCGATAAATTTAAAAATCTTTGTTTTTCACATGGGCTGTTATACGTTGCATGTTCACGAGTTGGGAAACCATCCGCTTGTTTGTGTTAACGTCAGACCAAAAAACAAAAAATGTGGCAGACACGCTTCGATTCAGTATTTACTTTGGATTAACTTTCATTTACTTGGAGAAGCTCAACTAAATAACACTACATTTTTGTAATCGAAATGAATTTATTACTGTTGTTCCTTTTCAAATCGTAGAATCGGGCTTCTATCAAATATTAATGGAAKATGAAGATATTGAAAAAACGGCATTCTCAGTAAACAAAGGAAAATACCGAGGAGTATTTAAGAATGAATAAAAAATGTTCCTGGAATAGTGCAACGAACAATGGACAACATTTTAAGGGACTGTATCAGAAAATTTTGCCAGTCTATACGGACGATATCATAGTATTTGCAGAAAGTAGAAAAATCAACATTTAATAAAGGGGAAGTAGAGTTTTTGGGTTATATTTTGACAAGAAATAAAATAAAAACTAATGCCAAGAAAATTGTTATCTGGCGAAAATGGCCATGTTTCACACCACATGTCAAAGGAAATTAAAATAAACTTGGGCAAAGATGAAATTTCAGCATTTGAAAAGCTAAAGCAATTGCTTAAAAACCAAACTGAGTTTTTTCAACCAAATTTCCCTAAAAAAATTGTTTTAACAACTGATCCGTAAAATATAGCAGTATGTGCAGTAATATCACAAAACGATAAACCTAGTACTTTTATTTTTAAAACACTTAACAAAACTGAGTAAAACTATGCCACAAATTAAAAAGAATTTTCTGCCATTCTATGGTCACTTCCAATCTTACGCAGTAATTTATACCGATCACCAACCTTTATCTTCTGTTGTGTCACCAAAAAATTAAAATGTATAACTGAAAAGGTGGCATACTATAAGGAAAGAACTCGCACCAGAAATATTTTACAAGCCTGGAAAAATTARCATACTTGTAGTAGCCGACGATTCGTCAGACTTAGAAATGATACATTTAGCTGTAAGTTCTGACCAAAAACAGTGAAACCCTCAAAAAATTTAGACTATAAAGCTTTATAAAAATAAATTCACACTCTGAACAACTAACAAACTTTGGAAAAAAGCGTCGTTTATTTGTTAAAACTGGTCACCCGAAATTAATTCCAATGGGATCACCCCCAATACCGCAGAAAGAAAGAGAACAAAGATATTTTTTTTTATTAGCATTATTATTATATTTATTACTTGTATCAACACATACTCGAAATTCCTTGTTCTGAAATGAATTAACGATAAACGAACATTGTTACGAACGATGTTAAACATATAACTCTTCACAAGGAACGAAGTTTTACTACACCTAAACTTAAATCTATGACGCCTCACAATGAAAATATTTTACTGTGACCTAAGACATAGTTTAACAAACGGACCAGTTGGACGGGTAAATTCAACAATAAGTGACGTGGAAACAATAATTCGAGCTGCACAACAGTATAATTTGACTATACATTCAGTCACTAATTTCAAACCAGCAGATGTATTGCATAAACAAATTAATCATTACTCAGTTTTTATTGTATCTAAACGGTTTTTGGTATGGTGGCGTGTAAAGTTTTATCCCGTAATATTTATTGCTTCTTGATTTGTGTACTGGAAACTGAAGTAGAATATAAAATTGTGCTATATGGGAGCATGGTTACTGTCCGATTTCCGTCCGTCCGTCTGTCCATGCAAACTGGAACTCACTCCCCATATAACGGTACTTTTCAAAACTACTAAAAGCGCGATAAATCAATAATTAAATACACCTGAAACATCAAATTTTACCACCGGGATGTTATGAGAAAGTCTCATAGGAGCTGGTACGAAAGTTGGATGATGGGCGTGGCACCGCCCACTTTTTGGTAAAATCCCATTTCTCGGGACCCAACCAACCGATTTCGACAATTTTTTGGTAAGTGCCATTCTTCTTACATTCTTATAKCACAACTTTAAGTTCAACTTGATTCGTTCAGTTTCAATGTGCCATCTTGAGACCAAAAGTTCCAATAAAATGAGTTCAAGCCGCTAGTTATCGAATATTTGGACCCAATGTGAAAAATAGAATAAAATAGACAAATTTTAGCGAAAACTTGGTCTAGCCTCTATATAACTAATATCTGGATTTTCGAACATCCGGCTGACTTTACTCTATATGATTGATTTTACGCCTCAAAGTATTGGCTTTGATTATTGCAAGTTGTAAGAGTATAAAATGTTCGGTGGTGAGGATCTATATCTCAATACACAGGGTGATGACAACTTGCGACGCAACTGTATAYCCTGTAGAGTACAAGTTGAAACTCAAAGTGCTGATGCGTAATCTGGACGCGCCAAGACTGTGCAACGCCGCTAGGTTACGTATCACTCGGCCAAAACGGCACATCGTCCAGACCACCATTCTTACTGCAGGAGCCAAAAAATATGGCGTTATTGACAATTTCCTTTAAAAGTGGTTTTCTCTATCACTAYAAATAAATATCGAGGATTAACTTTAAAAGTAGCCGGCATTCACCTGTACACTCCTTGCTTCTTCTATGGACAACTGTACGTGTAAATTGATATTCCCGATGTTCAAATTTAAATTATTTTGCTTCAGAATATGTGAATAGTTATTATTTACTGTACATAAATGGTTAATTTTCCCGTGGGGCAAAGCAAATATAATTTCACAAATTGTTTGCAAAAACCAAGCAACCATTTGCTGGAAAATGCCTCTTCGAAATGARTCTGAAACTTCGATTGATCTTTTCTTTCGGGGACCAAGTTTCATCAACTCTCACGATTTTATAGATGGGTTTCGAAGTACCGCTTTCGTATTGTTTTAACATTTCTCTCAACTAGGCTTTTCCTGAGCAATTAAAAATTGTGTGGGATTCAACGAGAAAAAATGTATTGGTATGTTTATTTAATGGTCATGCGAAATTGATTGTATGCTAGTCGCACTAATTCCTATAGTTGTCTAAATCTCACGATATGTCACAAGACGTTCTTGCAATATAAGTTTTACAGCATGCACTGTTTCATGAGATAATCAATGCACTGTTGCTGAGAGAATCSACTTCGAGTAGTAAAAAATAATCGCGCGAAAATGTTCGCAATATAATTAAATTTTTTGACCCATCAGAGTTTTACCATACAGTTGTGAATTGCCAAAAAACACTAGAGTCGATAAATCCCGAAAATAAAGAAGAAAATACATTTCAATAAATTCAGTATTTTGAATAAGTCTATGTAACAAACATTATTTTAAAAGACTTGAATTCTTTAACTCTCATATGATTGGTTAAAAGTTCTTCCTTATATACATTTTTTAATTAAAATCTCTTAACTACGCATAAAGATATTTTAGAACTGCTTAGGTGCATTATTATTTGGTATAAGTATGTTTTGTGTACTATCAATGTTATTTGATAYGGATTTATTTTTGTATATGCACGTTCATACATGGTACATGACGACAGCACGACATCACGGCAGCAGACTTGCAGTATGTATTATGATATTTTCATCTTTTGCAACTWTTRCAATTTTTATTTCTTGAAGTTTCTCAAAAGTTACATTATAATTTGTTATATCTTCATCTGTGATGATATCTCTACTTAACAAATTTCTTTTATTCTAATTATATTTGTTTCAATGTACATTATATTTTCTAATGATTTATTGTCCCAATTTTCTTTCAATACCTTTAAGTTCTGAGTTGATACTCTTCATGTTTTTAACTAATTCTTTACAATGGGAGTTTAGACTATTAGTTATAGTTTCTATTTCATTGCCAAATTTTGCATTAATATTTTGTTGTTTATTAATTTGTTCAATTGCACTATGTGCATTTTGAGTGTTAACATTTAATTTTTCTTCAATTTCTACACGATCTTCTTCCTCCCTTGAGTCCTGTTCCCAAAACGGTAAATAATCCCCTTTTTTGCCTTTGGTGATGTGGAGTTAAAGTATCTATTTGAGTTCTAATGTGCTTGAGTTTAGCAATAAGTAAAGTGTTAGGATTTTATTCTTTCAAAATTAATTTTTCCAAATTATTTACTTGACCCTTGTACATTGTTGTATTTACTAAGTATGATATTCTGTCATATCTTTCGTATAATTTGATTTCATTTAATTTTAGTAGCGAGTAGCCGTTACCATGGTTCAAGTCTACTATTTCTATCTGGGCTGCGATTAGAGGTATTGCCAAAAAGAGTATGGTAATCTTCATCATTATGTCTTATCTATAAAATTTAAGATTTTATGTTATCTTTGTGAATAATTCTATTTTTTTCTTAAATCATAACCTTATTTCCTAAATCTTGCTTAACYATTTGTTTCTTATATCTAGGTTTTATTTTCCCTTGAAATTTATTTTCTCGTTGATTCGTTTCTTCGTTTTGATTTTTATTGAATGATCTTAATTTATGGCCTTTATTTCTTTAATTGGGCATCTGACTTTGAACTAGTTTTAATTTTTCGGTTAAATCATTGTGCTTAATTTTATTATATAATATTTCAAAGAGCTTYCTTTCTGTTACAGAATGAATAGTTTGATTATATGATTGTGCCGCGAGTATTATAACTTCAACATTATTTATTAATTCCATTTCCTCTTTTAGGCATTTTGCAATTGCAATCAAAGTTATTGTTGAGTGAATTCTTTCTATTTGTCCGTTCCATGTTGAAAGTCTAAGGTCGCAATAATTCATTTTAATTTTCATTCTATCTGCGAAGGATTTGAATTGAGCTGAGCTGAATCCGGGCTCATTATCGCATGTAATAATTTTTACTTCTGGGAAACTTTGAAGGGCTTCTAATACTTTTTCTGAAAAATTAGTTTTGTCTTCGATATGCTTAACTATTATGAATTTGGAATATGCATCCATTACAGTAAGGAATTTTAATTTTGATGCAAAAAATATATCAATATGTAATTGTTCTCCCTCTTTTTTCGGAATTATATCCTCTCCAATCGGTACCCGTATAGGGTGTCTGTCGTATTTATTTTTGTTGCAGATTCCACAATTCCTTACAAATTGTTTAAATTGTTTCTTCATTAGCGGCCAGTAGTAATCTTTAGAAATTTGTTTTAAATTTTCTTTATATCATCTGTGCGCTCTCGTATGTGTTTGTCTAATTAWTTTTTCCTGATCATCTTCGTTAATGATATCAATAGCTATTGTATCCATATGCAAAACTTTCTTTGCAATTCTGTTTCGCAAAATTCGCTTAACTTCATGTAATTCTTCTAATGTGCAATTTACCCCAGTTAAAAGGTTTTTATATACTCTTTCTGAAATGATTTGTTTTAAAAATTCTAAATCTTTATACCGTATGTGGTGCCTGTAGGTATTGAGAGTTTTTGTTCTAAAATGTTCGTTACCATTTGATTTGCTCAATACAATTTGTTGTGGGAATGAGTTTAGGTTTTATTAGGGTTTTTATGTGAAAAATATCTAAGCTTGGTGCTGAATGCATTGTATCAGTGGGGTTATCTTCTTCGCCTCCTTCGATATTTTCATTATTATTTTCTTCTAAAATATTATTATTCAAAAACTGTCTGGATAATGCATCTGCTACGAAATTGCTGTTTCCAGATTTATAAATTATTTTTGGGGCATATTCTTCTATCAGTGCTTGCCAACGCTTCATCTTAGCATTTGGATTTCTCAGTGATACAGCGAAAGTAAGGTGTTGATGCTCCTTGTGAATTTCCAAATCAGCAACTCCATATAAGTAATTTCTTAAGTTTTTCAATGCCCAGACAATGGCATATAACTCTTTTTCATTTGTAGCATAATTTTTT